CGTGTCAGGCCCCCTCATCATCCCCACCCTGCTTGCAATCCGCGAAGCCACTTACGTCAGAAAAAGAGAGAGGGGGAGAGTGAGAGATCTCGCCCACAGAGTCACTGCGCGGCGTGGCGCTGTAGTTTACTCGATTAATCGAGGCCTGCGCAAGCCTCAAGTCCCGTCCGCTGCCACAGGCCCCACAATTCACACAGTACTGATTTGCGCTAGGCTTACAGATTTGCCCCAGGACAAGCTCCAAACCTGACCTGCTGACTTGTACTGTCTCGATACACCGAGCGAGCGGCACGGGCTTGATGGCGTAGGACCGTCTTGATGGCGACAAGACAGTCCGATGTGTTCAAACAGCAAGACAGTACTGTGCGCTGTGTGAACTTTGAACCGTGGAGGAAGGGAGAGGCTGGGCTTGTTTTGGTGCAAGGCGTAGAGAGCTGAAGTTATTTTTAACTTCCCGCCGTTGATCAGCTAAGCGAATGGATAAGTGAGAGGGAGCGTGGTATTGTAGTAACAGAGACCTAGGTTTCTGATAATAATAAGAATAAGTAGACTTAGATTACCCTAGAATGGAGAACTCCAGGGGTCGTTGTGATTGGCTTTTGTATCGTATGTATGTAACCTATTTTGTAGATGTGTTACACTCACAGTGACATAATATAGAACATTTAGGAGACGGGCTAGGCCTACTTCAACCCAATGTCAGGGCCAACCTGGGCTGAGAGGGAACAACGCCCCAGCAGAAAGACGGAGGTTCTCAGTAAAAATTTCTCCCCATACGGGAATCGAACTGAGGTCTTTTGCGTGCGACGATGAAGCGCTTGGCTCGTGCACATTAAAAATAAACAGGCCTAAACATCATAAGAATAGCCGATCCAATATTAATTTTTAAGTGCATTGAATAGAGCTTTTTGTTTTTTACAACCGAACTATGAAAAAAACCCAACCGATCTTGCACTTTTGGTGCAAGCCTCTCAACGCAAATAACCAGAGAATCTATAATATGTACTGAGCCCACTGCCACGAGAGTTCGCGACGTCACGACACAGTACAGCAGGACTGTCCGCGAGTCACAACTCACCGGAAGTTCCCTCTGGTAGCAAGCGGGAGGCAAATCAAACCACAAGCCTGCTCGCAAGACTCAAGCGCAAGACTTCCACTGCTTTACAAGCCTTCGATTAACCGAGCAGAATCCAGCCCTAGTAATGACTGCAATAAACACAGCAAATGAAAAAAAAGAAAAGAAAAAGCGCTTTAAAAAACAACGATCGTTGGGGGCAGACGGTGTGCTGGACAGGTCCCATAATTTTTTTTTTTTTTTTCAGTGAGTTAGTAAAGGAGGAAATGCTATCTACTTCGTCCAGTCAATTGTGAAGGAAAAATGATTAGGAGAAGAGACAGTAGTCCGAATAGGGGAAAATGCCTTCACAATCGGTGAATTTCGAGTGCAAAGACAAAGAAAAACACGCAGACAGAAAACATAGTTTCATAGAAAACAAAATCCATAAAGATGCATTTCAAATACCGGAATTGTCACGAGATAAACAGTTCTGTGGGAACAGTGGGGAGTTTTAGTCATTAATTACATTATCAGCAGCATTAAAACGAAGAAAAAAGAGGAAACAATCAGATCTATATAACTCCCCAGTGAAATCAACAAGAAATATTACACAAATATTCCTTTTTGGAGAGCTCCCACGGTTATGTGAGCAAATTCTGGACTATTACAGGTCTGAATCTGATGTCAAACTAAGTCCGGAGAGGAGTCAAAGCCGGGGTTAGTCGGTAACGTAGCAAGTGGCCCCTCATTGTTAGCGCGATAAAAACAGCCAACCCTCATTCCCTCCCTCGCAGGTGGGATAGTCGGAAACATCGGGCTAAAATCCGGTGGGTGACGGGTTATACGGTTTTATTTCTAATTTTTTAAAGACATTTCTAGACAAAATTCAGATCTGTCTTTGAGTGAGCATATGAAATGGACAATTTACTATCGATAGGGCCAATAAAAAGTTTTTTGATATTTTGTGGGTTAGACGGTTTTATCACCAGGCCGACGATATATAGTATGTAATGTATCTACATTCTTTGAATGAAAATAACTATACATGAACACCTTAAAATTACCAAAATGCATTTCTAATAAAATAATATGTTATGAAGTAGCTTTTTTTTTGGTAGAAAAATACAAAAATCGAGATCGCTATTCGAGGACCAAAAAATGCCAACTATCGCAGGCGCGGCCCCGATAAACGCAGATGCTTGGCAAAGGAGTTGAGGGGGTGGGGGGCAGAAAGAAGATGTGGTAGCAGACGACAGAACATTGCTAGAGAACAGAAAAGGAGGTGAAAGGAGACAATTTTTTTTTAGAGAAGAACATTTTTCGGTCGCTGCCCGGATTCGAACCCGGGACCTTTGAATGAGAGGCCTACACCTTACCTCTAGGCCACGAAAGCCCCTCTAATACATGTGTATAATTATTAATAACCATTTTAAAAACTTAAGCAAGAGACAAGGAGGGAAACAAGTTGGTTCTCTCCTTACTCAATGTTAGTAAGCGAAGGAAGTATGCTACACATGGCTCACTTCTCTATAAAATGAGTGAGTCAGCCTAATTAATCAAAGAGTGTACACCATACACGTTGATAGGGTTCGCGCCTTTTTAAAAGCAAAGGTAATGGTTAGCCAACGGCAATGAATAGTGTACTTGAATTAAGGTGATTCACTCTTGAGTGAAAACTACCCGATTGATAGTTTATTCCTTAACAGATTTCAGTGGACCCCACTTATATCTTATACCAGTCTCGGTTAGACAGGAGGCTTGTTAAACGTAAATCCCCGAGTGGGGTCTTTTATAATCATAATAATGTTTTGTAAACTAGTTCAAATAAGTATAGCAGGCATTCGGAACAGGCATGCACGGCTATAACAACAATGGTACAACAAACCATTTGCAAAGTTCTAAAACAAATGGACAAGAGAATAGAAAATAAGCAAGTGGAGCAAAACAACATCCATAACAAAATGTGCCTATGACCCACAGGAGGCCTATAATAATTATGTGATTGTGTAGATTTTTAAAAACATGTAGATCTATTTTAATTATGTGTCAGACCATTTATACATATAAAACGAATTATGGGAGGGGTGGTGGTGAAGCTGGATGGACTTTGCTGTTGATCCAGAGATAACAAATCAGTGACGCGAGTATCTAACTTAGCGTGACGTACGTTTGGCGCCACATTGTTACATTGTCTCCCCGTTCGGTGGAGTTTAACGGGAACCGGACTGAAACTGAATGAAAAGTAAAGTTATGGCACGACTGCAGATCCATGTGTAACCTTGTTTCCAACCATGGTAACTGTTTGATTTCGAATTGTCTCGCGCATATATTATAGGGTAGGCCTAATGTATGCTGTGGAGCACGGTGTGCGCTAAATAAAAATGCAAAATTATTATTTTCAATGGGCTACGCCCTGTGTATCTCTCAATAATAAACTCGCACAAAAAAGTCAAGGAACAAAAATTCAAAGAAAGATAACTGAAGAACAGTGTAACCGAATAGCCTATATTCATTTTTTCCCAAAAGATGCTTTCGACTCTTTAGAGTAAGCGTGTACAATTTCAGATTTCAACAACAACGAGAAGTTCATGTAAAACGAGTTTAAATCACACTTGTCGGATTTCAAAAGTCTGAACAGCCATAGCTCTTCATGAACATTGTCAATAGTGTGGTGTAGCCACCCCGTTTGACCAAACACTCGGTACAGCGTCGACGTATTGACAGGACATGCTTTCGAAGAACTTGTTGCGGCAGGTTTTGCCACTCCTGGACGAGGCAGCCCAAGAGTTGTAGAAGATTTTGTGCAGATGGGAGGTTGTTCCTTATCCACCGGTCAATGTGATCCCAAATGTTCTCTATTGGGTTCAAATCCGGACTACAAGCTGGTCAGTCCATGCGGGTGACAGCTCGCTGCTGTAGGAAGTCCCCCAAGATGCGTGCGCAATGTGGCGTGGCGTAGTCATCCTGCAGTACAGCCTGGGGTCCCTTCTGCTGCAGGAGAGGATCAACAAGGGGACGCAGGATTTCCTCTCTGTATTTTGCTGCAGTCAAATTGCCCTCAGTGGCGGTGGGTAGTGAAGGGCTTACGGGCTTGAGCCCCTCACCCCCGCCCCCTTTCCGCCCCAACTCTATCCCTTAGTTAATGAAAGTTTCTTAAATAACGAAATAATAAGCAGTTGAAACCGTCATGATCGCACGCAATGAACACAGTTATCAGCTTGGCGGCTTGCCCGTTTATCCAATCATTGTTGTCACCGCTTACAACTATAGTAACCTAACAGCCAATCAAATGTCGTTAGGGCTCAGAAAGAATAAGCCGGTTCCCACGCCCGTCTTTAATGAAACTCTTCTTGTTAAAAGGTAGAAGACTTTTACAAAATTACACTGCACAGAGGGCTCACGCTCTCCCAGCCCTGACAATGGGTTGAAAGCTTACGACACACTTTCCCCTAGTGACACAGATACCTATGCGCCCATTGGGCCTTTGTTAGGCGCGTTCTATTTTCCGCAACAACACGACCATATCCACCTCATAGACGGTATGTGTTAGGAGTGCTGTGTGTTTGTGCCGCTGAGTCTATAATATGTACTGAGCCCACTGCCACGAGAGTTCGCGAC